AAGAGCAGCCCCCCTGTGTTACTCGCAGGTGGCTGTCAAGTCTGTCTTTACCTCTCAAAGCTGTTGGGGACACAGGAAAACTCTGGGCTCTCCTCCAGCGCAGGACTTGTGCTGCTTATTCCTGGCTGATTGTTGGGGCTAGCTGCAGTCAGACTGGGAGCCACTGTTCACCTCTGCTGCTCCAACAAGGGAGGAGACTGTCGGAGGATGGATTTCTAGGGTCTGTAAGCAGGCAAGTTGCTTGTGTGGCTCCTACCAGGTATTGTGTGGCAGTCAATGAACATCTCTTGGTTCCTGGCAGTTTGTCATCTGCCCTTGTAAAGAGGTTGCTGCCTGGTCCACAGTGTGGGGAGAGGTGCCCACGACCGCCTGTGCTTGTCCCTTGTGCTGGCAGACACGGGCTGTGCTGGGAGCCAGGCCTGGAAGGCAAACCCTTGTCTCTGCAGAGCAGCCTCCTTCCAAAAGTCTAGTCACTCTGAGTCACCGTGGGGGGCCTGGAGGACAGTCAACTCTGAAGTCTGTGTAACTACAGATGGTCGGGACCAGGAAGTATTGCAGCCCAGGGTTTTCTCTCTTAGCTTTGATGTGCACTGTGAGTGACTCTTGCGGGTGCCAGGCTGGCCGCCAGTGACAGGCAAGGACCAGGAGTTGTGTAGTAGCTGTAAATTACAGCTACAGCCTTCAGATGTCCTAGGAGCATCCAGGCAGCCTTGACAGAGCCGTGCTGGTGTAACGTGCTCAGATAAGAACGCAGCTCATGGCTCTTCTGCATCAGTTTCAGTTGGTTTGAGAGATGGTCCTGTGCAGGGCATCCTGGCTTAGGCTGGAGGCGCAGAGGGACGAGGTGGTGGCAGTAAGGGTGGGCACGCAAGGTGGCAGGGCTGTGGGCTGTAAGGATGGAGGGGTTCTGGGCTGCCGTTATGCAGAGTGGCCGTGGTGGAGAAGGCCTCGTGGCGTGGCGGTGACCACACTGCCAGGTCTGTCAGCTCACCGTTGTCTCCAGATGTTTCCTAAGGCTGTTAGCTCTTCCTCTTGCTGTAGCAGATGTGGGGTTCCCTGTTTTGGACAGAGACCTGTGGGTGATGGTAGTGTTATTTTTGCCACTGGCTAGAGGAAGTGGGTGGCTCGCAGTAGTAAATGCAAGAAGGTTTAAAGCCAAGATCGTGGGTTCTGCCTAGGAAGGCTCGTGCTGGGGTCTGTGCTAGCTCTTTGTGGTGGGATGCAATGGCGCTGTGCGGTCAGGGCAGGCTTTCAAGCTGCTTATCAAGTCCTACAGACAGTTGCCATCTTCAGCTGGGCTGCCCGTTGCCTCCATGCCATGGGTGCCGGAGAGATGCTTGTGCTGCAGCAGCCCACGTCATCGTTGATAAGGAGAGCTTGGGTGTCAAGTCAGTCTTGGGAGCTTGTTTTTAAGGACTTTTGCTGATGTATGCTCTTGTGCCTGCCCTCAGCCTGTATGCAGGGTGACTCAAAGGCAGCTGAACATCACTGTGCAGAAAAAAGAGAGTAACTGGTGGGAGAGACTCACCAAGCAAGAGAAGCGTCCGCCCTTCCTAGCTCCTGACTTCGACCGCTGGTTAGATGAATCGGATGCTGAAATGGAACTGAAGGAGAAGGTCAGTCCTGTGGGTGTGTGCGGCTTGTGCTGCCAGCTGCAAAGCAAGGGTAGCCGTTCCCTTGCACGTGAACTTGTGTTGTTTACTGGGATGCTGATAGTTACTGCCATTTCACACAGATCCCATGCAGAATTGGTTAAACAGTCCACGCTGCAAGCAGGAGTTCAGAAATAGGCACACTTCTGGGTAGGAAGAGCAGCAGCTTGAAGCTGGACTGCTGGCTTTCACCCCTTGTCCGGCACCTTAGCAGCCCTGTGTCCCGATCCTCCTGATCTGCCATGTGGAGCCCAGAGGTGCCAGTCCCAGGCACTGCAAAGCAGGGATTTCTGAGGCTTTCCTGAGCCGCTGGGCTGGCCTTGATGCTGCATTCCCACCATCTGGTGAGCTCGACCAGCTTACTGCAGCAGGGAGGTGGAACATTGTCTTGGAAAAGGCTTGCACAGTCCACATTTCTGCCAATCCATTTTACAACAAACGCTGCCCTGTTCCCCTCCGCAGCCACTGAGCTTAGCACAGAGGAGAAGGGGCCACTGCAACGCCAGAAGGCAGCGGTGAAAGACAAGCAGAGAGCCTGGGCTGGATGTTCTTAGTTCTCTTCGGGTCACGGGTGGGTCGTGAAGTGTTTCAAGGAACAGCTCTAAGCAACGTTAATAACTGAGAACACAGAAAACAGCAGGGTTTTTCAGCAAAAGCACCTAATTACTAGAATAAAATACACAGTGAAGGTAGGATGACCAGGTAACACCCTCTAGCTTTTACCACGCAGTAATTTCTGGATGAGGAATGTGCTGTTTCATGCAGGTGAAAATTTAAACCCTCTGGTAACTGGCTGCTTAGCTGAGTTTTAAACCCGCTAGCTTTGCGGTAGTATAGGTAACAAATCACTTGCTAATTACAGTAACAGCCTTTAAAACCTTATCCTTCATCTTAAGGAAGAAGAAAAGATTAACAAAATGAAAATAGAATCCAGAGTCCCAAAAGACCGTAAGTAACCGTACCTTTCTGGTGCGTAAGGTGGGCTTTAGGAAACGTCTGTCGCTCTTCTGGGCAAACCTCGGCTCTTGCGGAGCAATTCTGACTGGCTTGGGGCGGGGGGGCTCTTTGCATTGTGAGCTACTTAGAAATTGAGTGAGGCTGGACCACAGTAATTTAAAAAATGTGCCGCGCGAGGACTGAGTTGTAGCAGGTAAAAGCCGGCAGAATCCTCAGTGCACACAGCACCCCTTTTAGCACTACCTGTGGCTTCCGCCCTTCTTGCAGGCTGCGTGCTCGCAGGAAGCCTGGTTTGCAGCTCTGCTCTCTGCAGAAGTGTTACCCTTGTGCTCTGCTCACCTGATGTGTTCATTGTTGGTTTTAGCTTTCAAACACCTGAAGAAGGGATACTTAATAATGTATAATCTTGTACAGTTTTTGGGATTCTCCTGGATTTTCGTGAACATGACAGTACGACTGTTCATCTTAGGAAAAGGCAAGTAATAACCAGTACTTTATTTACATGGGGGATTTTTGTTCTGTTTTTTTAGTGTTTTTAACGCTTTCTAAATAATGAAATCTGAAGGAAGACATGCTTGGGAAACGAAACCATAAAAAACAACGAAAACCTCTCAAAAGCTATCACAGTGTCAAGGATAGGAAAGTACTGTCCCCTCGGAAATCACAACTGCGTATTCTGATGAATGTCGCTGGCACTCTGCCAAGATTATTTCTAAAGAAATCAGCGCTCATGGCAGTGTTAGTGGTTTTGAAAATGAGCAGGGTAGGGTATGTGTTAGTGTTTTTGAAAATGGGCAGGGTAGGGTATTTTGGTTTTGAAGCAAGAACACTTTATTCGACTGAGGATCAGTTCTGTTGCTCTCTTTGTAAAGTAATTACTGAAATAGCTTTTGATCGTTCTGTGTGTGAAACACAGCGCTTGAGCAGTGTTTCTGGCCTAACTGCTGTGAAGATCAGGCCTGTAAAGAAGTTACATAATCCTGCATAATGTCTTTTCAACTACAACTAGAATCCTGTTATCGAAGGCTACTCTGCTGCGCCAGCTTCCTGAGCGTGGGAATTCATTTGTTCTCTGAAAGGCTTTCCTGTGTCTTGCAGACTCCTTCTATGACACGTTTCACACTATTGCTGACATGATGTATTTCTGCCAGACCCTGGCATTGATGGAGATCGTGAATTCGCTGATAGGACTGGTCAGGTCACCGCTGATACCGGCTGTAGTGCAGGTAATATTTGAAGATTCTTCTCCTTGTGCTTGAAATAAATCTGTTTTACACAAAGTGTTGAGACTCTCCTAAAATAAGTGGTACAACCCCACTGGCACTGGGGATTATTCAAGAGGCAGGAATATGTGCTTCCCAGTCTTAGCTGGGGCAGGCTGTCTTTTTCCGCCGCCTAGGTGAGATAGTTCGGAACAGCAAACGAGGTGGCAAAAAGTACATTATTTTGATGTGGTTCCAGTGCCCTTTTTATCCTGGCTGCAGGTGTTATGCGTATAAAAATGAAGATAGATGATTTAAGACTCGGTCTCTTGGCTTGCATCGGAATACGGAGCAAAACGTTGCTCGTAAGCAGCAGGTCACGGCTGGGCTGCGGTTCGGTGCGTGCTCAGTTTCGGGCCAGAAGGGTCGATACCTGCAGGGATTTGACAGCAAGGGCTTCCTCTGTCTGTCGATGAAGAGTGTGACTTGTTCCTTAATTTTTCTTAAACAGATATTTGGAAGAAACTTTATTTTGTTTGTTGTCCTTGGAAGCTTGGAGGAAATGCAGAGCAAACCCGTGGTGTTCTTCATATTTTATTTCTGGAGCATCACTGAGGTGTTCAGGTTTGTGGGATTCTTTTTCTGTTGTATACAGCAGATAACACGAAAGGCTAATTCCAGGAGCAGGTTCCATGTTCAACAGGGTCTTGTTTCTTTGCACACTAGGTATCCGTATTACATGCTTTCCTGCCTCGGTATTGAATGGAAACCACTCACCTGGCTCCGTTACACTACCTGGATCCCCCTCTACCCTTTAGGAGGCTTGGCAGAAGGTATGTCTGGACAGGTTTAATAAACAACAAAGTCAAGGCTGGGCAAATAACTCCATTTTTTGTTTGGCTGCTGGACTAAAGAATAATATAAACAGACATTGGCTGTGAGCTGAACCAGATGTAAGCATTTTTGTTTTGACGAATCAAATACTGTTTTCAGTTTGATGGGAAAAGGTTTCTTAGTTTGGGCACTGGAAAGTAAAGGCAACAAAAGGTTACTGACCAGGCACGTGCTGCAGGCCGCACGAGCGGCACAAGGCGACAGTGCTCCCTTACACTGCTTTGGATCGGCGGAGGCATTTCCTTCTCTCCACTGGACGTGTCCTGGTCGGCCCAGCTTGGTTTCACACCAGCTCACAGCTCTCCTACATCATCACACAGGACAGGCAGGGGCCGATTCTGCTGCTGACAGTGGCACGGCCTGTTCTGCGACAGGCATGGCGCTCGCCAGACAGGGCTCTGCTCCCCTTCTGCGTGGAGAGCGGCTGCTCTGGGAAGAAGCAGACGCCGTCTTCTTGCTGTACCCCCTCTAGAGAGGGGGGCTTTAGGGTGAACTCTTCTATCTTAACAGGTCTGGATTACTTATAATTTCTGTTTATTTAAGAAGGGTATCACCACTCAGCTTCTAGCTGTCAGAAGTGTGTTGTAATCCTACCTGGCAGAACCTGTTTCCGTGAGCCAGGAGTAGGCTTGGGCATTGCCCAACGCCAGGTACAGGAAAAGCTGTGCCTGTTGCATTGCTGGGGGGTTTCTGCACGCTGAGTACTGCTGGCACGGGCCCTGCAGGCTGGGGTTGTGGGTGAGAACAGTCTCACCCGGCGAGGTCACTTTTATAGCTAAATTGCTATGCTGCCTGAGCTGGCTGCTTTCCATCATACTGCATGTTTAAAAAAGAATGCATTAAACTTGGTGTAATTAATGAGACCGAGCAAATAAGAAGGAAAAAGCCTGAAAAAGTTGGAGTGGGCTGGGCAATTGTGTATTTTGCATTTGCTAACGGTGGTGCCTTTCTGCTTTCAGCCGTCTGTATCGTTCAATCCATTCCAATCTTCAGTGAAACGGGAAAATTTAGTTTGGGATTGCCAAATCCACTGAACGTCACAATCCAGTTTTCATTTTTGCTTCAAATATACCTTATAGCCTTGTTTTTAGGTAAGATAATTCATTATATTTCTCACTGTTGAAATCAAAAGGCCAGTTTCCTCTGAATAAGTATATTATTGAAAGAAAAATCAAATTCCTGCATCTGGGGGTCATGGCAACACAAAATTGCTTGAGGTTAAGCATTATCCTTGTTGCTGGCTTATGTAAATTTGTCAGTGATGGGGAACACACCTACAATTAGCACTGGTTCGCCCCCCCGCGAGACAGAGAGCTCGGTACCAAGTTAGCAGCATTATCTACTAATCACCTGGGTTAAAAGAATAATTTTTACATGTATTTATAACTCCAGTATACTCAGTTTTACCTTTCAAATGGCATTTGAGCTTTGGAGTGATTTAGTGGAAATCCAAACATAATCCCATATTTAGGCAATGTTTAGCTAAACTGCTTTGTAATCACTAATGCAAGGTGAAGTCATGTTTTCCCAGGAAATAATGGTGCTCAATACGTACTTGGTTTCTGGTATTACACCTTAAACCACCACTTTTTTGTGCAGTGGCTGGTTGGTTCGGTTTGTTGTTGTTTTTTAAATTATACAGCCCCCTAGCATTAAAAAACTGCAATAATGTCCCACTTCAACACGTCGTTCTCTTTTTCAGGGGTGTTTGTAAACTTCCGTCATCTCTACAAGCAAAGGAAACAGCACCTCGGACCAAAGAAGAGAAAGATGAAGTGAAGGAGGACTGCAGTGCTCTCCTACCTAACCTGTCTCAGTGACAAGATAAGCCTCTAATTCTTAACAGTTTTACCCACTGGAAAGAGTTTTGTAAAATGAAGTGATCACGCTAGATTTCATGATTTTGTAGTGAATTCAGGTAACATTCCCATCTGCTGTATTTTGTTCCCTTTCAATCACATATGCATGGCATTTACCACTGAACAGAGACATCCAAACCTGTATCCTCTCAACTACCATGTTAGAAAGAAATCCTGTGATCTGCATATAATATGCTTATAAACAGTGGAGCAGCACTAAATAGGAACAGTGATTATCTTTTAATTGGGTATTTGCTCTTTCAACATTGCATGCAGATAGGGCTTCTGATGTTGGGATACACCGTCAGCCCGTGCCGTTCCTATGGCCTGTGCCATTCCTAGGGTGCATCCTGATGGCAGGAGGAGCACAGTCCGAGACTGCTGTGAGGTGTTTGGGCGTTTATTAACCATTGGGGTAAACTGGCTCAGCACACAAAACCCCCTTTTCTTCTGCAGCACACTGATACTGCAGAATTAAAGTTGGAAGTAGCTAATGTCGATTTGAATGCTGCTGACTAAAGTCTGTTTCTAGTTTAGCCTCAACAGAATAGGAGCACTCGGTGGATCCTAGCATTCCTGTAGCAACACATCCTTATCCAGTCACTTGGGAAAGGGAGCTGCCGCTCTGCGGCATGGTGAGAAATGCTTTCCTGGTTGGTAATGCAAGCACTGAAACATCAAATAGGGAAACACAGGTACCAGCTTTCTCCAAGCATGTGAATCCCAGCAGAACTCCATCCCACCCATGCGAAGGGAAAACATGGAACTGTGACAGGAGACCGGCTTCCCCTGATCATTCCTGGCAGGGCTGTAGCTTCTCTATTTATAGCCTCTAGAAGGGCAGGAAAAAGGGCTTTTCTGCTTGAACTTAGGGGTACAGCTGAGAATTGGGTCTGCATGCTTTGCTGGCCAGATGGGGGATGGGATGGAGTAGCTGTGTATCATTTTGATAGCGTGTATGGAATCTCAGAAAGGGAGATCCCACGCAGGGACCCTGTTCTCTGTGCTTGCTTTAACAACAGAGAAGCTCCCCCCTATCCCAGATCAACTCCTCTTTCACCTGGAAACCTGTTTCAGCTGAGTTCAGTTCAACATGCCCTTCTTCACACCTAGCCTCCCACAGTGAATTCCAGATCCCTCCTGACTCCGCTTTAGAAAACGTACAAACGGGTTTGCTCCACACCGTACTGTGGTGCTGAGCAGGTTGCTCCGGTAACTCCCGCTGCAGCCCGGGCAACGCAGAGCAATGCTGCCAGGCCAGAACAGGCACCCAAGCTGAGATTAGCTCAGTGCCACGTTACTCTTTATCTTTTTCTACAGTAAACCAGTATGAATCTGCCAGGAGATTATTTTCTGCATTAAAGGTAGCAAATGGCTTACGGTTTGTGATGCGGATGTTGCTGTAAAGGAGGGGAAGTAGTGTTACAAAGAACTGGGACAAGCTCCACGCTGCCTTTCACAAACACGTTCTGTCAACAAGAGGAAGGATGCAGCTTCTCTTGGGGATACTCGAGGCTCACGCTCGAAGGAGAGCGCAGCTGACTTCACTCAGAAGAGGATTGTTCACACATTTAATATTGCACTGCAGCACACACTCTACCTATGTTTGAAGCATGTCACAGGGTTGAATTATCTGAGTAACAGAACAGCAAGGATCACTTTCCCCTTTCAATTTCTCCACTGGGCATTTAGACTTCTGTTGTGAAATCCGTATCTATTCATACTTGCTATTTCTCAGTGAATTGTGGTACCTAGTGCAAGCTGCCGTGGATCTTACACTACTGAATTTTAGTCCTTCAGAAAGAACGTGTTTCTATTAATAAAGATTTAAAACCCAAGTCTGCTTTAGTGGAGTTGTTTGTTCTTTCTCTGCGCGTGGGAAGTTGTTTATGGCAGGAGTTAAATAAGGAATTATACAACTGGGGGTTGGGCTTTCCCCAGGTCAACGATCTAAGCCTGTGCATGCGTGAGCACGCACGCAGCAAAGTTGCTATGAAAATGGAACAAATCCAACTTGAATTTGTTTGAACAATTACTCTTTATTAATGTTACACAAATTAATTAAAAAACCCTTGTCTCGCAAGGTTGATTCGCTTTCCCAAGCGTACGCGTTGCCGTGCACACAAAGTTGCTATGAAAATGGAACAAATCCAACTTGAATTTTCCTGAACAATTACTCTTTATTAATATTACACAAATTAAAAAACCCTTGTCTCGCAAGGTTGATTCGCTTTCCCAAGCGTACGCGTTGCCGTGCACATGACAGCGTCCCCATCAGCACTACAGACTGGCTTTTAAGTTGGGCGTAATGTTAGTGGCAACACCCTGAAATCAGCTGTGTGTCTGGTCCTGCACAGCGATTCTCACACCTTTTCTGTGGACTGACCAGGTCACTGTATAAACTAATAGCTGCCTTTCAGGAAACTTTAACCGGTGAGTTCAGTTTGGTAGTAACCACATTCTGGAGAGGCCAAAAGCCATGAGCAGGCTGCTGCGTACGATGGCATTTTCTCTCTCTCCTCATGTCTACTACATAACTTCCATCATACAACAGAGTCATTGATGCTGGGAGAGTTTCCACAGTTTCCAGGTCTGACTAAAGCCACCACCAACTTATTACATTCAGTGAGAGAGCACTGATGCAAGTAAGGGACCCTGTTTTGATGGGAAGTTCTCCAAACAGTAATTAAACAGGCTCTAGAAAGTAAACAGGACAAGAAAATATGAAGCACTTGAGTCTTAATCTACAGAAGTTTCCAAACTGGAGACTTCACATTCTTTCAGTGCTGCTACTGGAAAAGTCTGTCTGCAGCGGAGCAATGTTATGGTCATAGGCAGCATATTCCGATGCCCCCGTACTTGCCACTTTAAGCTGCTGAGCAGCGTGCGTGAGCTGAAACGCTGCATCGGGATGAGCCGTGTCAGGAAGCAGGGTGCACTCCCGCTCCAGCATGTCTGCCACACCTTTCAAGAGGTCCAAAAAGCCGAAGGCCAGAGCTGCCTTGCGTAAACGATTAAGTTCCTGCAAAGAAGGAAAAAACTCCTTTTAAAGCCTCTGTAAGTCTTTACAGAAAACATGTTTTTCTTACTTCTTTTTTTAATGGCAAGCGTATCCACTTGAAGTGGTCAGGAGAGCTGCTGGAACCGCTTAGCTGCTCATGAGCAAGTGCTTCAGGGCTGACGATTATAGTGGCACAACTAAAGAGCGGGTTTTCCCTTGATCCCTTCCTATAAATCTCAACTTCTCCCTTTTTGTGCATTCAGCTATTGTACCTGCCTGTTTTGTCCATGTCCCAGCTGGGGGTAGCCACCAACGCTGGCTTTGCCAGCTCCTGCCTTTAACCCCCATCCAGCAAAACGTAGAGGTAGTGATTTTTCTTCGCTGTAAGCTGACAAGTGCTTACGTGCACTGAGGCAGGGCAGTCATTCCTGAAGTTGCTGGGGGCTACAATAATAAACTGCTGCAACGCTAAGCTTACCAGAGGAACAGGAAGTTACTCCGGCCACAGTTCAGATTATGGATTGTTATGGTGTGGTCAAACATGCCTGGAAATCTGTGTTTCACTGCTTCAGTTGTAGAAAAAATGTAGGAGACACTTTTCGACTGACATCTGAGTTCTTATTCCCCTCTGATGCCTCAGTTTACTTACGCCCGGAGAAGTGTAAGGTCTGCAAAGAAATTCACCATGGGAGTAGCAGGGATCATGAGGGGCACCTGTAAACGCGACAGGTCTGTGCCACCCTGCCAGAGAATGTGGCAGCAGGGAAACCAGAGGCCTCGTCTCACCCTAACTAGTCTGTAAAATGGGCCCAAGAAGCCTCCTTTTCAGCACCACGTATCTTCTGCAAAGCCCTACAAGCCTGCCCCGAACATCCCACGGGCACAGACAGTGTGTGTTCCTGTCAAATACAGCACTATCACGATGGATCAAACCTGGGCTGGCCTCAAATGTTACTCACTTTATAGAAGGTTTGAGTTTTTTCAGGGAGTTTCCTTGCATTTCTCAAGATCTTTTGTACATCTGTCTGCAGAAAAGAAAAATAAAAATTTTGGCAACTGCTGGGAAAGCTGCAGAAGAAAACCCTCAACTATTTATTGTTAAATCACCCTGGCCATTGACAAGACTGCAGCTCACAAAGGCTGAAACATAAACAGTAATTACACTCAATGCAATAAACTAAGTCAGATGCTACACTGGAGAGACAGCTTTCATTGCACAAGCTATGCTTTCTGGTTGCATTTTAATCATGACATTTTCAAGAGGCAGTGTTTATAAAAATGAAAGAAAAGCAATAAAGCAATTACATCGAACGGACAAGACACGCACGCTTTGCTGGTAAGACAGCTACTGCTGATGGAAGCAAAGCATCGAGGCCCAAACCTGTATCCTTACCTGAAGGCCGCTGGGTTTAATCCATACGGTAACATTCTGCGCGTAACTGCGCTTGTTCTTGGGCTGCAATGGGAAAGGGCTCTTATTGTCATCCTCCCCGTAAGGGTTTTCTTTTGCATCTGGAAGGGGTGGAGAAGAAAATAAAAAGAACTCAATACTAAGACTTGGCAAGGTCACTGACACAAGAAACCACCGGATGTGTCCGTTACTCACACGAGTGTGACCGTACCTGAAATAGGTCCGAGCTGTGCCATCTTCCCTAGCCATGGAAGGGGCTCCGGACCAGGTTCAAAGAGCGACATCATGAGGTTGGATTTCTTCTTGCTGTCAGCTTGTGAATACAGCATTCCATACCACTCTGGCCTATTGAAAAGAGAAAATCCCAGAGGCTGAAAACCTTCCACCCGTTTGCCTAGAATTTGCCCCCCTCCCATTGTCTGGAGGCTCGCTATTTCAACTTATACTGGCAGAAACACACCCACAATTAAAAATCCACAGCTTTGTCTAGCAGTGCAGTGTTCTGTACCCAACAAAGACAGAAATAAGCATAATTCAAAAATAAAGCTTAAGTAAGAGATTGTTCAGGCAGACATCCAGCTCCATACCCCAATTGGACGACAGCCACCATGCCTTCCACTTTCAGGCTGCCATGTAGCAGAACACAGAAGTTGGGGATTTTCCCGGCAATCTGATTAGCTGAATTCTCATCTTCGGTGTCATCTGTGATCCCAGGTCCCACCTCATCACCTTCTGGGGGAGAATGAGTGCAAAGAGACAATGTAAGAATAAATTCAAACACACTGGTTCTATTTCTGTGACACCACCCTGTGTCCTCTGCCATGCAAGAGTCAATTAATACCTTTGTAGAATGAACAGCTGCAAACAAACTGTCTGGGCAAAGCGGCACTATGATGTTGTCTAAACATTGCACTGCTTCCTACTCACAAAACAAAGTTACCCAAAAACCTGCAAATAAAATCTCAGCTTTGAAGAAACTAGAAGTGAAATGAAACGGCACCAAGA